CCCGATCCCATTCCCCTGGATGATCCCAATCACGTGGATGATCCTGATCCCATGCCCATGGATGATCCCAGTCACGTGGATGATCCCAATCCCGTTCCCATGGATGATCCCAGTCACGTGGATGATCCTGATCACGTGGATGATCCCGATCCCATTCCCCTGGATGATCCCAGTCACGTGGATGATCCCAATCTAAATGACCCCGATGATCCCATTCCCCTGGATGATCCCAGTCACGTGGATGATCCCAATCCCGTTCCCATGGATGATCCCAGTCACATGGATGATCCTGATCACGTGGATGATCCCGATCCCATGCCCATGGATGATCCCAATCACGTGGATGATCCCAATCTAAATGACCCCGATGATCCCATTCCCCTGGATGATCCCAATCACGTGGATGATCCCAGTTCCGTTCCCATGGATGGTCCAAATCACGTGGAGGATCCCAATCCCATGCCCATGGATGATCCCAGTCACGTGGATGATCCTGATCACGTGGATGATCCCAGTTCCATTTCCATGGATGATCCAAATCACCTGGATGATCCCAATCTAAATGACCCCCATGATCCCAATCACGTGGATGATCCCAATCACGTGGATGATCCCAATCCCGTTCCCATGGATGATCCCAATCACGTGGATGATCCCAGTTCCGTTCCCATGGATGATCCCAATCACGTGGATGATCCCAATTCTGTTCCCATGGATGATCCCAATCACGTGGATGATCCCGATCCCAAGCCCATGGATGATCCCAGTCACGTGGATGATCCCGATCCTGTTCCCATGGATGATCCCAATCACATGGATGATCCCAGTTCCGTTCCCCTGGATGATCCAAATCACGTGGATGATCCCAATCTAAATGACCCCAATGATCCCATTCCCCTGGATGATCCCAATGACCTCAATGTTCCCTTGGATGATCCCAGTGATCCTGATGACCCCGTTTTCCTGGATGTCCCTGATGTTCCCCCAATGACCCCAACGATCCCGTTCCCATGGATGATCCCGATGACCCCAACGATCCCATTCCCATGGATGATCCTGATCTGATTCCCCCGGATGATCCCATTCTTGAATGATCCCATTCCCGATGACTCCGATGACCCCATTCCCCTGGATGACCCCACTGACCCCATTCACCTGGACGACCCTGATGATCCCAATGACCCCATTCCCCCATTGACCCCAATGATCCCATTCTCCTGGATGACCCTGCTGACCCCACTGATCCCATTCCTCCGGATGACCCCGATGACCCCATTCCCCTGGACAACCCTGATGATCCCAATGACCCCATTCCCCTGGATGACCCCAATGACCCCATTCCCCTGGACAACCCTGATGATCCCACTGACCCCATTCCCCCAGATGACCCC